TTTGGTTTTTTCGAGACAGGGTTTCTCTGTGTAGCTTTGCGCCTTTCCTGGAGCTCACTTGGTAGCCCAGGCTGGCCTCGAACTCACAAAGATCCGCCTGGCTCTGCCTCCCGAGTGCTGGGATTAAAGGCGTGCGCCACCACCGCCCGGCTCCAGATGTCCTCTTTAAGCCACCGTTGGTGGCTGGGGCTGTAGCTCAGTGGTTGAGCGCTTCCCTTGCATCTTCAAGGCCCTGGGTTCCATCCCAGGCATCTCCCCAGATGTTTCATGAGTTTTGCCAGGCATGGTGGTTCATGCCTATGATCCCAGTATTGGGGAGGTTGAGGTAGGAAGATTGCTATGACTGCTAGACTGGATTGGGCTTCATTGGGAGTTGCAGGCCAGCGTGGGCTACAGTGTCAGACACTCTTTCAAACCACAATTTAGGCTGGGCGGTGGTGGCACATGCATTTAATCCCAGCACTCAGGAGGCAGAGGCAGGTGGATCTCTGTGAGTTTAAAGCCAGCCTGGTCTATACAGTGAGTTCCAGGACAGCTAGGGCTACATAAAGAAACCCTGTCTTGAAAAAAACAAAAACAAGAAACAAACAAACCACACACACACACACACACACACACACACACACACACACACACACACAATTTAGGTGGGCATGTTGGATGGCCTGTTTAGTTTTTAATGACAACCTGACACCACCTAGAGTCACCCGAGTGAGAGCAGGGAACTTCAACTGAAGAACTGCCTCAGTCCGTTTGGTCTGTGGCCATGTTTATGAGGAACTGTCTTAGATGATGACTGGTGTGGGAGGGACCGGCTTACTGTGAGCAGCACCATCCCTGGGCAGGTGGGCCTGGGCTATATAAGAAAGGTAACGTTGGCTGGGCATGGTGTTGCATGCCTTTAATCCCAGCACTCAAAAGGGAGGGGCAGGCAGATCTCTGAGTTTGAAGCCAGCCTGGTCTACATAGTGAGCTCCAGGACATTCAGAGCTACATAGTTAAAACCTGTCTCAAAACAACAACAACAACAACAACAACACAAAGAAAGCTAGCATTGGGGATGGAGAAATGGCTCAGTGGTTAAGTATGGGCTGCATTTCCAGAGGACCTGGGTTCTAATCTCAGCACATGGCAGCTCACAACCATCTGTAACTCTAGTTCTAGAGGGTCCAATACCCTCTTCTGGCCTCCACGGACATGTGGCATACAGACATACATGCAGGCAAAACACTCCTGCACGTTTAAAAAGTTTTTGAAAAAAAGGTTTCTAAAAGGATAGTAGTAGCTTTCTAAAAACAAAACAAACTAAGTAAAGGAGAGCATGCCAGTGAGCGGGTCCCTGCCTGGAGTTCATGCTCTGACTGCCCTCCATGATGAACTGTGGCATGGGAAGGAAAGCCAAAGAGACCCTTTCCTCCACAGTTGCTTTCAGTCCGAGCATTTTATCACAGCAAGGGAAAGCGAATTACAAGGGCTCCCATCTGTAATGGCAGCACTTGGGAAGCCTAAGGCAGATGGACTACCACAAGGTTGAGGCCAGCCTTTGCAAACTGCTTCCGTTCCAAACCAGCCTGGACTACAGAGAGGTTGTTTACCAAAGAGTTACCTTTGGGGCCAGCAATACAGCTCAGAGAGTAAGTAATGCTGCCTGCTTCCAAGTCTGACAACGTGGGTTCGGAGCCATGTGGAAGGAAAGAACCAACTTCTGCAAATTGTCCTCTGACTTGCATAAGTAGGCCATGGCACGCATGTACCCACACATACATGTGCACACACACACACACACACACACACACACACACACACACACACACACACACAATACATGTAGTTAAAAATTACTTTTTACGGCCGGGCAGTGGTGGTGCACGCTTTTAATCCCAGCACTTGGGAGGCAGAGCCAGGCGGATCTCTGTGAGTTCAAGGCCGGCCTGAGCTACAGACTGAGTTCCAGGCACAAAACTACACAGAAAAACCCTGTCTGGGGGGGGGGGTTGGGGATTTAGCTCAGTGGTAGAGTGCTTGCCTAGCAAGCACAAGGCCCTGGGTTCAATCCTCAGCTCAAAAAAAATTACTTTTTACAAGTGAAAAGTGAACAGAAAATAGTACTTTTTAAAATGTACACAGGTGCACAGGTTGTCTGTCATCTGGCACCGAGAAACCAAAGACAAAAGGGTCTTGGGTTTTAGGATCCCGAGTTGTACAACAAGATCCTGACACAAAAATGAAACAATAAAGGTTTTCTTTAAGAGCATCCCACCCACAAATCAGGTAACTGCAATAACATACCAACCAAGGAACTAGTCATGCTTTGGTTTAGACATTTCAGTTTTGGTGAGTGGTCCTTTGGTAATGAATTCTTAGAGAAAGAAAGATTCTGGACTCATCCCCACCAGCATGAAAATAAAAGGTGGGTAACAATGACCTTGACAGAGAGGATTAAAACTGAGGGTTGGAGGCAAAGCAAAAAAGCTTGTCTATCCCCACTGGGAAAAAAATAAAACAATTTCCATTACGATTCTCAAAGAAATCTGCACTAGATTCCTCTAGTCCATTTGACTTGTTCATATTTTGTTTTTTATACATTGCAGTCTGCATTCATGAAGCCATCTGCCTCTGAGCTAAAATAGTCCTGAAATCCCTCGTCCGGAGCCTCTGAATTCATCTTGTCAGTTTTAGGCAGCTGATAGCAATGTCAACTTCCCCTGAGAAGGCTGTTTCTGCGACAGCCCTCTAGCGGGTCTGAGACTGTTCTGTCAGTCCCTCTAGAAGCCCCACTCTAGCCCAGGCTGAACAAGACTTACCATAGCCAGGTGTCGTTCATACCCGTAATCCTAGGAGGCTGCTGCAGGGGGATTGTGAGTTTGAGTCCAGCCTGTATAACCTAGTCAGACCCCATGTAAAACAAATGAACCAATAGAAAAACTGCAATAACAAAAAATACTATGAAATGATGGAAATGTTCTGCATTTGCACAGTGCCTTGTAGAACCATTAACAACACTCAAAATGCTACAAATAGTGACTTTTCCCTGGAGTCTCCTGCTGGGAATGGAAAGCTCCCCCCCCCAGTGCCACCCTTCTGTAGAGTCCCCACAGTTCTGATGATTTGTCTCACAGCTAAGTCTAGACGTGTGCATTTCCTGCCTGTTTTCACTTCTATACAAGTGGTGTCAGTACTGCAGGCAAGGGGGAGAGAAACAGGAGCTTTTTCTCCCTGGTTCCTGCCCAAACTGTAAAGAACTCTTTTCCCTTACCAAGTCTCATTTTCTTTGGGTATGTATGGCTGAAGGCTACAGATTCATTTTCCTATCTCCTGTAACAGTAGGACTGAGGAACCAAATTTGTATTTTTTTTTTAAATTTAAAAACTTTTTGTATTCATGGCACTGGAAAGATAGCTCAGTAGTTAAGAACATTTGCTGTCCTTACAGAGGACCCAGGTTCAGTTCCTAGCACCCACTTCATGGCTCACGACCATCCATAGGCATGCACATGGTAAACATACATGCATGCGGGCAAAACACTCATATACATAAATCTAAATGAAATGTATTTATTATGATAACTGTATGTGTAAGTGTGTGTGTGTGTGTGTGTGTGTATGTGTGTGTGTGTGTGTGTGTGTGTGTGTGTGTGTGTGTGTGTGTGTGTAGGTCAGAGAACAACTTTTGGGAGCTGGTACTCTGTTCACTGTGAATTCCGGTCATTGGAATTGGGCCATCAGGCTTGTGTGGCAAGCACTTTTGCCGACTCAGCTATGACACTGGCTCTCCGTTTTAAATGGAATTGTAATCCATTTAGACCTCCATTTATGAACTTGTCATCTGCGGTTTGGTCTTCTATACTGGATGGCCTGGTTCTGTCTCAGTTGCAGCACAGACCTTTAGGCAATTGTGAAGGAAAAATAGAGGCCACCTATGGAACGACCAAATCCTTATGGCTCATTTATTAATAATGGGCAAATGAAGGAATTCTCTGTTGGGGAACAGAGCAGGAAACTGAGCCACCTGTAACTTTAGCTGGTGACAACCATGTGGGTAAGAACACATTTGGAAAGAACAGGTTACGAACAGAGAGGCCTTTTACAAACCTTCTGGATGTGAGAATCCCTCCTTTCCACATGCATCCCTTTCACACTGTGTCGTTTTGTCCTACTCAAACAACAAAGGGATTTTAAGTGTAGCAAGAACATCTTTAGAAGTAGACTTGGTTTGTTTGCTTTTTCAATACAGGGTTTCTCTGTGCAGCCCTGGCCATCCTGGAACTCTTTCTGTAGACCAGGCTGGCCTTGAACTCATAGAGATCCACCTGCCTCTGCCTTCCTAGTGCTGGGATTAAAGGTGTGTACTACCACCACCACCACCACCACCACCACCACCACCACCACCACCACCACCACCACCACCACCACCACCACCGGACTTAGAAATGGACTTTTTAACAATCACCTTGTAAGCCATTTACATGTGAATTTGAATGTGGCACTGCCTGGCCGGGAGAGAATTTCCTTACAAAAACACTTTACCTATATAAAAGTAACCTAATGTGAACCACACTTCTTTCTCATTTTAATAAATTTGGCAGGGAGCTGGGGTATCTCTCAGCAGCTAAGAGCAGTTTGATCTTCCAGCAGACCTGGGTTCAGTTCCCACCACCCACATCACATGGTGACACATATTGTCTATAACTCCAATTCCAGGGGTCTGATGCCCTCTTCTGGCCTCTGTTGGCACCAGGCATTCACATGGTACACAGACATACATGTCAACAAATCACACATGCACATAAAATAATAATAAAAACAAACTTTGTTACATTTAGTGTGTTTGTACATAAAATAATAATAAAAACAAACAAGCTTTGTTACATTTAGTGTGTTTGTGTGTGGGGATACATGTGCCACCATACATGAGTTGAGATCAGAAAACAATTAATGGGCTGGGTGGCAGCGGTGGCGGTGGCGGCGGGCGGTGCACGCCTTTAATCCCAGCACTAGGGAGGCAGAGGCAGGTGGATCTCTATGAGTTTGAGGCCAACCTGGTCTACAAAATCAAGTTCCAGGACAGCCAGGGCTACACAGAGAAACCTTGTCATTAAAAAAAAGAAGAAGGTGCGCGGGGGTGGGGGTGGGGGTGGGGGGCTGGAGAGATGGCTCAGAGGTTAAGAACACTGACTACGCTACCAGAGGTCCTGAGTTCAATTCCCAGCAACCACATGGTGGTTCACAACCATCTGTAATGAGATCTTGTGTCCTCTTCTGGCCTGCAGTCAGACATGCTGTATACATAATAAATAAATAAATAAATAAATGAATGAATAAATAAATAAATAAATAAATATTTAAAGAAGAAGGAGAAAGAAAGAAAGGAAGAAAGAAAGAAAGGAAGGAAGGAAGGAAGGAAGCCAGGTGGCGGTGGTGGCACACACCTTTAATCCCAGCACTCGGTGGGCAGAGGCAGGTGGATCTCTGTGAGTTTGAGTTCAAGGCCAGCCTGGGCTACAGAGTGAGTTCCAGGAAAGGCTCCAAAGCTACACAGAGAAACCGTGTCTCAAAAAACTAAAACAAACAAACAAACAAAAAAAAACAAAAAAAAAAACAGAGAGATACAGAGAGAGAGAGAGAGAGAGAGAGAGCAAGCAAGCAAGCAAGCAATTCAGTTTATGGGAGTTGGCTCTCTCACTGCATGGGTCCTGAGCATCAACTCAGGTTACTAGGCTTGGTGGCCAATCCCCTTACCAGAGGAGCCATCTCCCTGGCCCTTCTTTCACTTTTATTTAAATTTTATTCATTTTTCTTTGTGTTAGTATCTCTCACCGTGCACAAAAATCTATTCAAAATAGATAAAAGACCTTAATATAAAGCCTAAATCACTGAAATTACCTGAGGAAAACATTAGGGAAACAACTTTAAGCTATGGGCACAGGCAACAACTTCCTGGAAAGGATTCCAGTAGCATGGTAAGTAATGCCAAGTAACTGATCAATGAGCTTCTGTGAAATGTAAAGGCCTCTGCATTGCAAGGGAAAGTATCAGCGGAGAGAAGAGACAGACTGGGTAGAAATCTTTGTCCGCTACACCTCAGAGGGCTAATATCAAAAATAGAGAGATACTGCTTCTTTCTTTGTATTCGCAGATTTCTCTATACCGTGAGTCTAAAATCTAAAAGTCTGCTAGTGCATCCATTGAGAATATATGATACAGGGCTGGAGAGATGGCTCAGAGGTTAAGAGCCCTGGCTGCTCTTCCAGAGGCCCGGAGTTCAATTCACAACCATCTGTAATGAGATCTGGTGCCCTCTTGTGGCCTCCTCTGGCAGAACACTGTATACATAACAAAAACAACAAAAAGTTAAAACAAAAAAGAATATATGGCCAGGCGGTGGCGCACACCTTTAATCCCAGCACTCAGGAGGTAGTAGAGGCAGGCAGATCTCTGTGAGTTCGAGGCCAGCCTGGTCTACAAAATCAAGTTCCAGGACAGCCAGAGCTGTTACACAGAAACTCTGTCTCGAAAAACAAACAAACAAAAAAAGAATATATGATACAGGGCTGAAGAGAGAGCTCAGAGGTTAAGAGCACAAACTGTTCTTGAAGAAGATCTAAGTTTAGTTCTCAGGGCCCACATCAGGCAGTACAGCTGTCTTTAACTCCAGCCTATGGGGATCTGACATCTCTGGTCTCTTTACAGAAACATAATTAAAAAAAAAAACTATAAAAGGAGACAGAGGAAGAATATATAATAGGCTGGGGGTATATCTAAGTGATGAAGTACTTACCTAGCATTCACAAACAGCATGTGCACCACTGCCAGGCATGAGCTTTTATGTGAGTGCTGGGAATCTAAAGTCACCAAGTCATCTCCCCAGCACAGATTTTCCATGTTCTAATGAAGTTTAATTATTAATATAAAAGTTGCATTGAAGTAAGTCAGGATGGGTCTGGTGGATTGCAACTTGTCAATTCTAGTTTCTGCACAGAGAGCTTTCTCATTCCAACGGAGTTAAACAAAGACAAAGAGGGATAACCCTTCCCCCTTTCCCTAATCTCTTCCAAATGTAATATAACTAAGATTCCTCTCTCAGGGACAGCATGCAGAGAATTCACTGATAACACAAGGAGGGCAACTCTGACTCTAGGAGTTAGGGACATGAAACTCATTCCTTTCCCAGGAGGGAGTGAGAAGAGTACAGACCATTGTGTGCCTTGTTGAACATCTGCTGCACCAGCCAATTTAATACATGCCAAAGCCTGAAAAATAAAGGAAGCTGCTACACCATTAGCCACGAGGCCAGTCCACAGAGGATACCCCTCATGTACATGTTTGTAAAATATGTTCAGGAAACAAAGACAAAAGAGTCTTGTTAGAGAACATGTAGCTGGTAGTCTGAATGTCCTTGGTCCAATAGTTATGCCGTGCATCATAGGGTACACATCTAAAGCTCATTATTTGATTGATTGGTAATCTTCAAAATTGCAGTAAAATATTTTAGTTCAGAAGTTCAAAAGCATCCAGGTGGTGGCACACACACCTTTAATCCGAGCACTCGGGAGGCAGAGGCAGGTGGATCTCTGTGAGTTTGAGGCCAATCTGGTCTACAGAGTGAGTTCTAGGACAGCTAGGGCTATACAGAGAAACCCTGTCTCAAAAAACAAACAGAAAGGAAGGAAGGAAGGAAGGGAGGGAGGGAGGAAGGAAGGAAGAAAGAAAGGAAGGAAGAAAGGAAGAAAGAGAAAAGAAAATGAAAAAGAAAAAGAAGACAAGAAGACACAGGAAAGCAGTTAAAAAAGAGAAAGAAAAAGAAAAATTTGTTAGCAGCCTGGGTGGTGGTGGTGGTGGTGGTGGTGGTGGTGGTGGTGCACACCTTTAATCCAAGCCCTTGGGAGGCAGATGCAGAGAAACCCTATCTTGAAAAAAAAAATAAAAGAAGTTGAAAAGCACCTAATGATGAAAGGTTAACCACTGAAACTTTCTCATCAAAGTTGATGACTGTGTAGCACTCATATAACATTTGTCAATATTTATCATCTACCTTTTGGACACAATGGAGCCGACCACATACACGCCAGAAAGAGCAACTCTTAAGAGAAAAGGGAATGCATCAGCAAATGCCTCAAGCCCTGAAGTTGTTCGTGCCTGAGGACCTGTGGTTTTTGCAGATGGGCATACTGAAAGACAATGATTGACAAAAGTGCTACTGCCCTTAAGAGGATGGCTACACACCACCCTGCGAATCACGTTCCTGCTCAGTTTCCAAATCAAGTTTCCTTGACACAGAATGAAAAGTGAGGCTATACTTTTTTTTTTTTTTTTTTTTTTTTTGGTTTTTCGAGACAGGGTTTTTTCTCTGTGTAGCTTTGCGCCTTTCCTGGAACTCACTTTGTAGCCCAGGTTGGCCTCAAACTCACAGAGATCCGCCTGGCTCTGCCTCCCGAGTGCTGGGATTAAAGGCGTGCGCCACCACCGCCCGGCGAGGCTATACTTTTTAATGAGTACTATTAGTTAGTCACTGAACTTCCCAGGCATCTCAGGAATGCAGGGTAGCTACTGGACATTTCAACTAGAAAATCACTTCTATTAAGTTGAGGTCTTCCACAGGAACAGCCCATCTATGTATCTATATCTCTCCAGATATTTATTTGGAGACAGAGGAGGTGGGGTTAGAGAATTTTTTAAATTTGACTTACGTGACTGTGAAGGCCTGGTGAGTCCCACTTTTATGGGGGTAGTCCAGTAGGTTGGAGACAAACTGACATTCTAATCCAAAGGCAGGCTGCTGGGAGAATTCCTTCTCACTCAAGGGAGGGCAGGCTTTACTCTTCAATAGTCATCAGCTGAGGAGGCCTGCCCACACTGTGGAGCGTAATCTGCTTTAGTAAAAATCCACTGATTTAAACATTCATCTCATGCAAAAACACCTTCACATAAACACCCAGAATGAGGTTTGACCAAATATCTAGGGACCAACGGCTGGCCCAGTTGACTCACAAAATTCATCATCCCTTTCTTTTATGCCAATAATGATTCAATTTAGCATCCAATTCTTGTAGCCAAAGTTGTATGTGTGTATCCATGTAAAATTGCATCAATGTATTCTGATGAAGGTCACTTTAATCATTTCAGCATCGTAGGTTGGAGCACTTGCTAAGCAGGTGTGAGGACCAGAGTTCAGATCCGTGTGATCTCCTGTGTGTCTGTAACCCCAGGGCTTCTGGGGGAAGGAAGAAGGGGGAGCATGGGGGATGGGACAACATGGAACTGGCTAGGACTGGATGGAGACAGAATTGTGAGGCTGTATGGCTGCCAGCCTAGCTCTAGGATCAGTGAGAGCTCCTATTTTAAGAGAATAAGGTAAAGCGTGATAGAGCCTCTTCTAGCCTCCCTGCTCACAGGCACAGATATTGAACATGCACATGTACACTACACTACACACACACACACACACTATTTTTAAAAAATCAATGTTAATGATAAGTGTTTTGTATAATATTTCTCATGAAAATACATACGTACATAAATCCTTCTTTGAAATCCTTTCTTGAAATAGCGTCTTCTGCAGCTCAGACTACCCTAAATTGTGCTATAGCCAAGACCGGCCTTGAATTCTTTATCCTCTTTCTTCAGCCTCCCAAGTGCTATCACAGCCAACTCTAGAAATTTGAAGGATTGTAACACTAAGGTTACAAAAATAAGGTCCTTGAGAATTGGGGGGCATGGCTTAGCGTGTAAAACACTTGCTCCACCAGCATGAAGAGCAGCATTTATCTCCCCAGTACCCAGATAAACATTGGTAGAAGAGTAGTAGCCGGCTAGAATTCCACATCACATTCGGAAGAAACGGGAAATCCCTGGAGCAAGCTAGCTAGCTAGACTATCCAAATAGGAGAGCTCTGTGTTCGAGTGAGAGACCCTACCTCAGTATATAAGGAGGAGTGTGATTGAGACAGATGCCAATATCAACCTCTGACCTCCACATGCACACACGTGCACATATCCCTCTCAACACATGTACATACATACAGGCACACACCAAAAAGCAGTAACAAAAAAGCCAAGGCTCTTGCTTGACATGGTGACTCATTTCTATAATCCTAGCACTTCAGAGTGCAAAAGCAGGAGCTCATGCTAAGTTCAAGTCCAATCTACAGAGGGAGTTAGAAAACAGAGAGAGAGATCTGAGCTAAGAGAGAAGTCTTGTCTCAAAAAGGAAAAGAAAAAAGAAATCAAAGAAAAAGAAAACAAATCAAGAAACTTGCGGGGCAGAAACACATACACTTGGAGTTGTTTATGGTGAACAGATAGTTCATAATTGTGTCCAAACAAAGGCAGAAGTGAGGCAGTGATTTCTTCTTTTTGCAGTGCTTGGCATCAGTCCCAAGCCTGGCACTTGTCGGAGAAGTGCTCTACTACTGAGCACAGCAGAGAAATTTTGGTATCCATTGACTCTATGTGACAACATGATTTCCAGTAGTTTCATTCAAGAAATGTTAATATTCACTTTCCTGATTTCATATTAAATTCTGGAAAACAGAATTTTGAATGAACACACTTAAAATTTCAATTATAAATGTAACATCTGATTTCAGTAAAGCACTTTATATATAAAGCAGATTGCTCACTTTCCAAAAGATCATTACTTCTTTCAGTTTGCATTCTGTGGGTTGTTTTCCACTGTACACTGAGGCAGGAAGGTTGCAAATTCCAGGTCTACAGGGACTACATAGCGAGACTCTGACTCAAAACAAACAAAACCCCATAATCCATTATTAAAATATAAGAAGAAAAACCAGGTGTCTTTAATACCAGCACTCAGGAGGCAGGGGCAGGCAGATGCCTTGAGTTTTGAGGCCAGCCTGGTCTCCATAGTGAGTTCCAGGCCAGCCAGAGCTATAAAGTGAGACGTTGTCTCAAAAAACAAACAACAACAACAAAGAAGAGTAAGGGGCACTGATGGGAAGGCTCAGCAGTTAACAGCAATTGCTGCTTTTTCAGAGGACCCACAAGGACGCTCACAAGCATCTATAACTCCAGTTCCAGGGACTGCAACTCTCTCTTCTGGTCTCTATAGCCACCAGGAGGATTTACAACAGTTCAATCTTAGCCTTGACCTACATATTGATACTCCACCTTAATTTTAAAAGAGAAGAAAAATTTAAAAATTAAAAAAAAATTTAAAAAGCAAGATATGCCTAGTGGAACAAATTTGGGAAGCAATAGGATGAGAAGTTCAAGTCCAACTTCAGCTACACAATGTTTGAGGCTACATGGGACCCTGTCTCAACCCTCCCTCTCTATATAGGAATATTTGGTATGCATGATTTAGGGAAAGAAACCGTAAGTCAGAAACAATCTGGAGAAATCTGAGTTGTTCAATATGAATTATTTAGAAACAAATGTGAGGGCTGGGGCTGGGGCTCCATGATAGAGTGTTTGTTAGCATGCAGGAGGTCCTGGGTTTTATCCCATGCATCTTCAAACAAGGAAAGAAAGAGAGGCAGGAGAAAAAGGAAGGGGAAGAAGGGAGGGAGAGAGGGAGGCAGAAGAAGTGAAGGTCTTGGTAGGGAAGGAATGGAAAAGTGGGTAACTGAGTCCACATGTGTTATGTGCCAAATATATAACTAGAAGGTCCCAGAATTAACTCTCAGGTGGATCCCATTTCTTAAAAGGGTAAGAATTAAAAAAAAATAAAAAAATATTATATAAAAATAAATAAAAATAAAGTAAAAATATAAAAAATATATAAAAATATATAAAAGGGTAAGAATAAAATGTACTAATATGAACTTCAATGTCTATACCAAATGGACATGCACTCAAAAATATTTATATACTCGAACATATATAAAAATGTTCATAGTAGCCCTATTTGTAATAGCCCCCAATTTGGAAACTACCAACACATTTATCAATAGGATCATGAAGAAGTCTTAGAGGCCAAAGGGATGAACTGTGTGAAGAAATGTTTAAGGCAAAATTATGGAACATGTGACATTACCATGACCATACATTGAGCCAAGTACTCTGCTAGGAACTGTTACATATATTGTTTCATTTAATCGTTTGTTTTAAGACAGGGTTTCATACAGCCCAGATTGTCCAGCAACTCCTGAGCCTCCTCCTGCCTCTACCTCCTAAATGTTGACATTACAGACATGTGCAACCATGCTGTTTGTTTTGTTTAATCTTTACCACATCCTGTAACAGAGACTCATTTGACTATGAAGAAGCTGAGGCACACAGCTATGAAAAATATTGCCCAAAGTCACAGTGGTAGTTAGGGATGAATGAAGTACTTCAACATAGATCTTTCTCAGACCAAGTCCCACTGTGTCTTTTCAATCATAGCCTCCTGACTCACCATGATAGATAGGGAAGGCAGGAAAAGTTGGGAAGTATGGAGTACACACACACACACACACACACACACACACACACACACACACACACACTCACACACACTAAAATTCTAACAGTGTTTCATTTTTTTAATTTGATTGTTTCTTTTTTTATTCCATTTTCTCTTTTTTTATTAAGAAAGTTTTTATTCATTTTACATACCAACCACAGATCTCCCTTTTACCTCCTCCTGCCCCTCCAGCCTCCACCCCCCATTCCCTCCTACAAGAAGGTGAGGCCTCCCATGGACAGTCAGCAGAACCTGGTCCATTCAGTAGAGGCAGGTCTAAGCCCTTCCCCCTGCATCAAGGCTGTGCAAGGTGTCCCACCATAGGTAGTGGGCTTCAAAAAGCCAGCTCGTGCACCAGGGATGGATCCTGATCTCATTGCCAGGGGGACCCTCAAGCAGATCAAGCTACACAACTGTCTCACTTATGTATAGGACCTAGTCCAGGCTCTACAACTGTTGGCCCAAAGTTCATGAGTTCCCACTAGTTTGGTTTGGGTGTCTCTGTAGATTTCCCCATCATGATCTTTTTTTTTTTTTGGTTTTTCGAGACAGGGTTTCTCTGCGTAGCTTTGCGCCTTTCCTGGAGCTCACTTGGTAGCCCAGGCTGGCCTCGAACTCACAGAGATCCGCCTGGCTCTGCCTCCCGAGTGCTGGGATTAAAGGCGTGCGCCACCACCGCCCGGCTGTAACACGAATCTTAAACGGGCTTATTAATAAAAAAAATGGGAGCCAGGTATTGGGGTAAATGCTAAAAGATCAGAGAGACAGAACAAGCCACAGCTACCTCACCTTGCCAAATTCTCAGCCGATCCTGTTTCCTCAGACTGGAAGCCTCCGAGTCCTCCCCCGAATGGATCTCCGCTGACTGCTGCTAAAAGCCTAAAAGCTTAAAAGCTTCTAGTTTCTGGTTTTCACACCTTTATATACCTTTCTGCTTCCTGCCATCATTTCCTGGAATTAAAGGCATGAGTCACCATGCCTGGCTGTTTCCAGCGTGGCTTTGAACTCACAGAGATCCAGATGTATCTCTGCCTCCCAAGTGATAGGATTAAAGGTGTGTGTGTGCCACCATTTCCTGGCCTCTATCTAGTGGCTGTTCTGTCCTCTGACCCCAGTCTATTTGGTGTTCTATAGGCTTCCTGTGTCTTCATTGTTACTTCTTTCTTTAAGTTGGATAAGTTTTCTTCTATGATTTTATTGAATATTTTTTCTGTGCCTTTGAGTTGGTATTCTTTTTTTTAAAGATTTATGTATTTATTATGTATACAACATTCTGCTACCATGTAACTTTGCACACCAGAAAAGGGCACCAGATCTCATTACAGATGGCTGTGAACCACCATGTGGGTGCTGGGAATTGAACTCAGGACCTCTGGAAGAACAGTCAGTGCTCTTAACCTCTGAGCCATCTCTCCAGCCCAATAATTTTTTTTTTTAGAGCTGAGGACCGAACCCAGGGCCTTGTGCTCTA